GAAAGAGTAGGAAATACTCTGGAGTTAGTAGGTATAGGTAAAAACTTTCTCAATGAAACCCCAGCAGCACAGCAACTAAGAGATAGCATAGATAAATGGGACCTCATAAAACTAAAAAGCTTCTGTTCATCAAAAGAAATGGTCTCTAAACTGAAGAGAACACCCACAGAGTGGGAGAAAATATTTGCCAATATACATCAGACAAAGGACTGATAACCAGAATATACAGGGAACTTAAAAAAACTAAATTCTCCCAAAACTAATGAACCAATAAAGAAATGGGCAAGTGAACTAAACAGAACTTTCTCAAAAGAAGAAATTCAAATGGCCAAAAAACACATGAAAAAATGCTCACCATCTCTAGCAATAAAGGAAATGCAAATTAAAACCACACTAAGATTCCACCTCACCCCTGTTAGAATAGCCATCATCAGCAACACCACCAACAACAGGTGTTGGCGAGGATGCGGGGAAAAAGGAACCCTCTTACACTGTTGGTGGGAATGTAGACTAGTACAACCACTCTGGAAAAAAATTTGGAGGCTACTTAAAAAGCTGACATCGATCTACCATTTGATCCAGCAATACCACTCTTGGGGATATACCCAAAAGACTGTTACTCCAGAGGCACCTGCACATCCATGTTTATTGCGGCACTATTCACAATAGCCAAGTTATGGAAACAGCCAAGATGCCCCAGCACTGACGAATGGATTAAGAAAATGTGGTATCTATACACAATGGAATTTTATGCAGCCATGAAGAAGAACGAAATGTTATCATTCGCTGGTAAATGGATGGAATTGGAGAACATCATTCTGAGTGAGGTTAGCCTGGCCCAAAAGACCAAAAATCGTATGTTCTCCCTCATATGTGGACATTAGATCAAGGGCAAACACAACAAGGGGATTGGACTATGAGCACATGATAAAAGCGAGAGCACACAAGGGAGGGGTGAGGATAGGTAAGACACCTAAAAAACTAGCTAGCATTTGTTGCCCTTAACGCAGAGAAACTAAAGCAGATACCTTAAAGCAACTGAGGCCAATAGGAAAAGGGGACCAGGAACTAGAGAAAAGGTGAGATCAAAAAGAATTAACCTAGAAGGTAACACCCACGCACAGGAAATCAATGTGAGTCAATGCCCTGTACAGCTATCCTTATCTCAACCAGCAAAACCCCTTGTTCCTTCCTATTATTGCTTATACTCTCTCTACAACAAAATTAGAGATAAGGGCAAAATAGTTTCTGCTGGGTATTGAGGGGGGGAGCGGGAGGGGGCGGAGTGGGTGGTAAGGGAGGGGGTGGGGGCAGGGGGGAGAAATGAACCAAGCCTTGTATGCACATATGAATAATAAAAGAAAAATGAAAAAAAAAAAATTTTGTGATTTGACAGTACACATGCAGATAGCTTAGTTATGAGAGTCAGAGAGGGAGAGGTTAGAAACATAAAAAGTAAACTGGGATAAGACACTAGAAGGAGAGAATGGGATGAAAAGCAGGTCAAGGGGCTGACACTGAATAAGAAGATGCCACCTCTTCTTTGAGCTTAAAGGAAACAGTATAAAAGTAGGTACAGATATAGTTAAACTCACAGGGTTCAGCAATTAGAAAGCTTATATCTATCTGTTAACTTCAATTTTCTACAAATAGGAAGAAACATTAGGGTGGGATGGAGAAGGTCATGTAAATTTTTAGAATACCTGCAGTGGGGGTTTAGGGAAGGAAATTAAATGAGAAACACAAGCAGTGGCCCATTCCACACTAATACATGATTTTTGTCCAGTATCCTGGATATAGGATAAAGGGCTAGACTCATGACAGATTAGGAGTTTGTAGAGTACTCATGGTAGAGAGGGGCAGGGATACTAGGATACTGAGAAGAGAATGGATACCAGTCTAAGTCAGACAGAAAAGGAAGCAATACAGAGCAATATGATGGCTAAAACATTAAGAGGAAGATGCTAGTAGCCTAAAGGTCTGGACGAGGTCAAAGTGGAGAGGAGTGAGTAAGAGGGCTAGAAAGAAAAGAAGTATGATCAGAAATCAGCACACAGATTCATATTATAAGTGAGGCAGTTCTAGGAAAGAAGGTCCTGAATGGCCACTGAAGTGGTTTGCTGGAATAAAATATAAGTAATGGTTGTTGAAATGAAAGATGATGGATAATAAAGGTTAGGTCATTGTTTCTCAACTATGTTTTGCATTATGACCCCTAAAAATCTTCTTCTAGACATTTTATCTTTTCCTGATTGCCCTTCTTCCCCCAAAGTTTAATATTACAGATACGCTGTAGATAGTGTTTATATATTATGACATCTGAGGCACCTTTACTCCCCAAGAACCAATTTTCACCCCTTTGGGACAACATATTCTCTATTGAAAATGCATGGGCTAGACTGTGGGATGGGTGTTCCACACATGTGCTCAAGTCACTCCAACTGTCATTTCTTATTGTCAGACTCCTTTTCCACATAATGGAAACTGATACTCAGATTTCATTGAAATATGTTAGTTAAATTCAAGATTCTACTAGATTTTTTTTTTTTTGAGACAGAGTCTTGCTGTATAGCTCAAGCTGGCCTTGAATTCAAGATCCTCCTGCTTCTGCCTCCTGAGTTCTGCGATTACAAATTTGCACTGCTGTTTCTGGTTCCACTGGATTTTATTATTTGAAAGAACTTGCATCTTATAAAGATTCTTTGGGGCTTAATATATTGTTGGGATATATTCAGATTGCTAAAAAATGCAGCAATCTGCATTTAGAAGACTTTAAGTGGTATTGAAGAGCATTCTGCTTCATAGTTGAAGAATATTTAACACACATTTTATTTAGTTAATGTTTTTCTGTTCATAGTGAAGAGTGACTAAATTGTTTACTACTATTATTTTGCAACTTGTCACTTGGGGGCAACAACAATGTTTTAGGAAATACAGAAGTGGAACATTTAACAAGTAGGACAGATAAAATATTAAAGATCCAACTATGTGACAATGAGAAGAAAAAAAGTGCTGACGTGTGTTCAAGTCTAATACCAGCATTAATCTTCAGATCAAGAAATCATTTGTAAAACAGAGCTTTTTGCAAGCAGTAATTATTTCCCTGTTTCCCTGTAACAAGACACATTTGAGTTCAATTCCTGGTGCTATAATTTAATGCTTGGCAGATTACTTATCTTCACTTCCCCATCTATAAAATGGGGAACATATACTTATAAGGTTGAGATTAAATGTATGAATGTACATATTCATATTACTAGATGTAAAATGCCTGCCACACAATTAGCCTCAAGAAAGGGTAATTAATAGTAATGAACATGCAAAAGGCATGGGAATTTCACAGAAATTGGAAGAAGGCTTAAACTTCTCAATAATCAAGGAAATGCAAAATCCACAAGGAAATATCACTTTGTACTCAAGTGACTGGCAAAGGTATATATCGGAAGTAGGCTCTAGATATAAGGAATAACTGAAAAGTTCTAGTGCACGGCTGAAGGCATGGCTGGCATTTTTTTTATATCTTCAAGTCAGTGTCTTTTAGATATAAGGTAGGTTGTTACATCATAAGGAAATAAAAATTTAATAAAACCAAATACCCAGCTTTAAAATATATTATAGTCTAGTAGGAGGAAAAAGACATTGCACAAATAATTATAAATAAGATAGCATTGGATGGGTGACATGAGAGGCACAATGTACTCTAGTAAGAGGGAAAAGAGTGAAGCTAGCTGGAGGAAACTGGTTAAAAGTTCATGAAAGATAAGCATTTAAGTAAGCATGACAGGTAGAGATCAACAGGGAAAACTTTCCCAGCTGAAATAATGGTGAGAAGTAAGGAATAAAGTGGTGGGAGACTCAGGACAGCTTGGGGGAATGGAGAATATAATTTGGTTTGCTTGCAACCCATAGGGAAGTTGAAAGACATTTGAAAAGGACAGACTGCATGCAGTTATGAATACTCAGGCTAAAGGGGAGGGAGAGGAGTGAGAGGGAAACAAATGCAAACCATGTACAGAGCAGTGACTAGGTATGATTGGTACCCTATAACAGCTCTGTTCACACAGGGACTAGTGTGAGCCAGACATGGGAGTAGATGCAGCCAACTGTGGGCAGACATCCTAAGGACAGTTTACTTTCTTTCTTCTCAAGTAGATACATTTGGGAGGCCCAGAAAGGTTAAATAACATCCTGTGTTTAATTTCCCACATAAATATAGGTTCATGATCACTGCTCTAACAATAGAAAGAAAATCCTATGTTCAAAAGCAGACATGTAAAATAATGTGAAGCAACTCTCAGCTTTCTTCTGATACATAAGAAAATAGAAATCGTTTCTCATGTGTCTCAGTTATTTCAAATGTTTGCTATTCAAGGCAATGCTAGGTTGGATCTGTGATGGTACCACAGATACAATAATGAGTGATGCTAGAGACTGGGGAGTAGCTCAGTGGTAGAGCATGTGTTTAGCATGTGTGAGGCCCTGGGTTTAATCACCAGCACATAAAGAAAAAATGATAAATCCCTCATACTTCCCAAAGTGACACTATGAACTTCCCAAAATACTTAAACCAGCACTAGCAACACAATTAATTCTGGATACTGGTGTTTAATAAATAAACAAGACTTGGTTGATAAACAGACCAAGAGTATAAAGTGATTAGGTATCTAATTTTTACCTTTTTATGAAGTAAAAGCAACAATTAAGACACTTATTCTTTAACATACATAGATACAGAGTTCAGATTAAGTATTTGGTTAATTATCACCAATTCTCCATTCTAAGAACATGGACGCGTGCGTGCGTGCGTGTGTGTGCGTGTGTGCGTGCGTGTGCGTGCGTGTGTGTTGCGTGCGTGCGTGCGTGCGTGCGCGTGCGTGTGTGAAGGATAAATGAGTCCTTTATAGAGAACTGGCCTTGGAAAGACTATGAGAAAAAAGAGAGATACTCTGACTACCAACTTCATTACCATCTCACCAAACTATGTGAAGAGGAATTCTTACCTGGCGCGTCATTACGAAATATGCATACATTGCCATGGCACTTCCATAAGTGATGAAGTAGGTGACTGGCTCCATGATGTCCCAGGAATATTCCCACCAGGTAAGCCGGGCCAAAATGCCAAACTGTGTGGCCATGTAGGCAAGACCACCCCAAAGCACCAAAGTGGTCCTCTTCTCAGCTTTTCTGCTAATTTCAATTCGTACCTTTTGGGAAATCATAAGGCATTCTGACATGGAATTGATTTAAAATTTATTAAAACTGTTCTATGTCCAGTAAAGAAATTTTAAGAAATCAGAAAAAGCACAAATCTAATAGTGGTTGTTCTTTTCTTTAATCCTCAGAATCTAATTTCTTAAAATGAAAATATAGTTGTGGGATGGGTATGGTAGTACACTCCTGTAATCCTGGCTATTTGGGGGAAGAGATAGCAGGATTGTGGTTTGAGGATAGCCTGGGCAAAAGTGTGAGACCCTATCTGAAAAAAAAAAAAACTACAAGCAAAAGGACTTAGATGTGGCTCATGTGGTAGAGTACCTGCCTAACTAAGTGTGAGGCCCTGATTTCAATCCCCAGGATCACAAAAAACAAAACAAAACAAAACAACCTCCCACCACCGCCCCTCCTCCCTGCCCTGGCCCCCCTCCAAAAAAAAAAAAAATCCAAGCAAAACACAACCAAAAAAACCAAAACTGTCATACATTGTATAACTATGCATATATGGTGGTGGTCCTCTAAGACAATAGTGAAGCTGAAAACTTCCTATCACAGCTGTTAGAATGTCATAGCCACCATACAGCACTCACATTTGAGGTGATAGTGTATAAACATATCTACTACACTGTTGTCATATAAAAGTAGAACATATACAATTCTGTACAGTGCATGATACTTGATAACAGTGAATGACTATGTTACTGGTTTATACTTTTAAACATTGTTTTAGAGCGTACGCCTACTTATAAAGGAAGCTTACTGTACACTGGCAATAGCCTCATAAATCTCAGATGCATGTGTTCCAAGTGCAACAAGAAGGCATTACAGTGACCGACTATACAATCTAGGTTTGTATAAGTCCTTCTATTACATTCTCACAAGAAGTCACCTAGGGATGCATTTCTCAGAATGTACCCCTGTCCTTAAGTGAACCATGAGTGTACTTCTTCCATTATCATAAAAATTAAGAGTAACATATGTTCACTGCAAAACATTCTGAAAAGTGTAAAGAGGAAAAATCAATCAGCACTCTACTATTCTCTTAGCATTTTAGGATTTACTCTTTCTGATTTTTGTGTGCATGTACATATGTAAGAATAGGAATAGCTATGTGAATAATGCATTTAAAAATTGGATCAAAGAATGCATACTGTTCTAGAATTTACTTTCCTTTTTTTCCCCATCCCATGTCTTCCCATTCACAATACTGACCAGGCACAGAACCTGGGCTGAGGTGTATATGGGATGGGTTTACTTTGCTTCCTCTATCTGTATAGGCAGTGTAAGAGCACAGCCTGTGGTAAGTGCTGGAAGGCCTAGAATTTATTTTCCTTAATGCATCATAAAACTTTCTATAGTAAATTATACTTAGATAATAATTTTAATAGATGCATAATAGTCCAGATAATATTCATTCTTTACTTGGCTAACATCATTATATACCTTTTCTGATAAACAATTATTCCAACCTTTGTTTTAAAGATGTTAATTCTGGTTAAGAGTGGTGCATATAGACCTCAGAGCTCTAAGTCCACTATCAGGCTTCAAATTATTCCTTTTAAAGTTTTCATTAGAAATTTTTTATGGTTCAGTCCTGTAAATTAGTAGACTATAATTTGACTGACATAATTCAATTACATAAAACTTGGAAGAGAAACAGGAACAGGTGAGGAGAAAAGCCTGAGACTGGATTTTCACCTTCTCCAGGGGAGCCAGCTGCTCTTTAAGGACCTCTAACCTCTCGATAAGTTCCCTTTCCTTGTTCAGCTGGTGCTGCTCGATGCACAGAGTGGTGTAGAGCTGCTGGACCAGAGTCTTCACATCATTCAGCGTTGCTGCGTTTTCATGGCTTAAGAGGTCTGAAAGACAGGGGTTATGTTACTTTTTATATCTCTTAAATGAAGAGTTGTAATTCTTGGGACGAGTAGCCAATGACAAGATAACAAAGCAGATGTATCCATTATAGGAACCCTACCTTCAGTATGAAAATAAAGGAAAGTAACAGTTCTAAAAAAAATGAACTGCCCACAATTCCAGAAAGTAAGCTCATATCTGGGTGTCTCAACATTTTGATAGCAACAGCCACTATTATATAATTAGTCTAAATGTTACTAATGTGTCTATGGTTAAGGAAAACATTAAGAAAAATAATTAAAATAATCTTCAGGGCTTGGGGATTGCTCAGTGGTACAGCACTTGTCTAGCATGTGTTAGATCCCTATAATCACAAAAAAGAAAAAAAAATAAAGACAAAAAAGCAAATGTTAAAAATTAGTAAAGAGGTTTAGAATCAATCTGATTATGATATTTATTAAAATGTTGATTTATAATTTATCTGTGGTCCTGCCATTTTAACTTAGTTTTTCTCTTTTACAAACTCCTGAAGAAAAAAATAACAGTATTTCAATTTGCAAATACGAAGGTATAAATAAAAATACTATCATCCTAATAATCTTAAACTCCATACATCTTATCCATAACACACTAACTTTTACTTATTCCTGTTGAGGAAAGACAGAGACTAGCTGTGCGAGCCTCAATATCATATTCTAATGGGGATGAGGTTAGGAAAACGATTCAAAGAGTGAAAGAAATTCTTTGAACATTTTATGCTGTAAGTAGCATGTGTTTCCAGAAATCTAAAAATTATGTTTGGAGAATCTAAAAAAAACTCAGTTGATTACTGTTGCTGAATTAAAAAAAACCCATCAGAAAGCTTTTGTTTTAGACTCTTGTTAGCTTTAAATGTGACATTTTGTTAGGTATGGCATAAGACCAGCTCTCTTCTAAGTCAAACTAAGACACGGTAAGAAATAATCATATACTTCAAATATTCTTCATGGGTGACTTTTAGTATAGTAATCAAAGCAATTCAATCAGTGAAAAAATTAACATGAGAGTGACAAATTGGATTAGCAGAGAGCTGAGATAGTAAAATGTGACACAGCATCTCACATGCTTCAGTAAACATGCACTGAGTTAATGCAAGCAGAAAGAACAACATCCCAGGCCATGAAGGAAATGTAAATTAAAACCATGTAAAGATTCCACCTCACTCCTGTTAGAATGGCTATCAGCAAGAACACAAACAACAAATGTTAGCAAGGATATGCTGGTGGGACTGTAAATTAGTATAACCACTATGGACAACAGTATGGAGGCTCCTCAAAAAACTAAAAATAGATCTACCATATGATCCAGCAACATCTTTTCTAGGGATATACCTGAAGGAATGTAAGTCAGGTTACAGTAAAAGCACCTGCACACCCATGTTTACTGTAGCATTATTCACAATAGCTAAGCTATAGAAACAGCCAAGATGCCCAACTACTGATGAGTGGATTAAGAAAATGTGGTATTTATATACAATGGAATTTTATTCAACCACAAAGAAGAATGAAAATTTGTCATCTGCAAGTAAATGGATGGCATCATCCATCATTAAGAACATCATCTTAAGTGAAGTTAGCCAGGTTCAGAAAGCCAAAGGCCACATGTTTTTTCTCCTAAATGGAAAATAGACCTAATACAAATACAAGCAATATTATGAAAAACAGGTCATGCTAAGGGGAAGTCACATATGAGAGAGGAGGGTAAAAGAAGGAAGTTAACAAGGTGAATATGGTTGATGTACTTCCCATACAAGAATGAATGAAGAATTTAAAAACCTGTTGAAGTCACTGTAAGAAGGGAACTAAGGTAGAAACAAGAAAAACAGAGGGGATGAACCAATTTGGGTTATAGAAATGTCATAATGAAACTCCTTGTATAGTTATCTTAAACAAACAAAAATGTCTTCTTTCAAAAACACAGAACAGGAAGGTAAAACAGGTCCTGTCTGGGGGATGGTGCCAGTGGGAGGGGAGGATATAAGGAAACGGTGTAGGAGGGTGAATGTAGTAGAAATATTATGTACTCCTAACGAAAATGGAAAAATGAGACCTGTTAAAACTATTCCAGGAATGGGGGGAGGAGGGATAAAGGAGAATGATGGATGGGGTGAATTCAACTATGGTATGTTGTAAGAACTTTTGTAAATGTCACAATGTACCCCCAGTACAATAATATAATTTAAAAAAAATGAAGACATAAGTCTTTTCTGGGGATGGGTACCAGTGGGAGAGAAGTGGGCAAAAGGAAAGGGTGAATGAGGATGAATATGGTGGATGTATTTTGTATTCATATATGAAAATAGAAGAATGAAACTTGGTGATATTGTTCTAAGAAGTGGGGAGGGAGGAAAAGGGAGAAAGATGGAGGGGTTAAATCTAACTAAGATATGTTATAAGCACATATGTAAATGTCACAATGTATCCCCCTATATAAATATTCCAGGCTAATAAATTTTAAAAATAAAAAAATAAATATTTAAGACAAAAAAGGGGAACACTTTGATTTCTGAAGTCATCTATGTCAACAGGGCCTTCTTTAAGCAAAGCCGCAGTGAACGTTTACATATGGCTTTAAATTTGGCACAGTTGCCAGATGAAGAAACTGCACTGTAGAGGGCAGAGATAACCTGCCTGGAAGGTGGGCAATAAGTAGACTCCGTATCTCCTGACTCCTAGGTCTAGAGCTGACACAATGCCTCTACCATTCCCATCTAAATATTCCCCCTGCAAGCTCTGTTTTCTTTCAAAAAGATAATTCCTGAAGTAGATCTGCATTATCTACATTAAAACCCTCTCACAGACATCCCATGTTATGCTCAAGAAAATGACATAAGTAAGCTTAAAGACAAATTTATAAAGGAAGAATCTGAGTCCTAGAGAGATAATAAGAAACATTTTTGTACTAGGTATTGGTGTAGTCACTGCTGGGGGATCAAATAAGAGATGCTTTCTCTCCCTAATGAGGTCTAGAAGTGACATTCACAAAGTCAGTGAGGCACAGGGAATGGGAGATCTGGCTAGTAGCACACAGACTTTCCTATTCTATGCCCTTTCTTTTAACCATAACCTGAGGATCTATAAAATCTGAAATAAGGCTTGGCATTTGTTTAATAAGAAAAGTAAGTTTCTATTAGAATATCATTCACTGAAGACTTCTTAGTTTAAAAACTAACCCTCTTACTATAGGTTCTATGTAGAAATTTATTATTTTTGATTAGTTACTATTTTTTGAGATTGTATCTCATGATATAGCTCAGGCTGGTCTTGAACTTGTGATCCTTCTGCTTCCACCTCCTGATTGCTGGAATTACAGACATGCATCACCACACTTGGCAAATTTCTTTATTATTGGCAGTACTGGGGTTTGAACTCAGGGCCTTTTTTTTTTTCATTTTTCTTTTATTATTCATATGTGCATACAAGGCTTGGTTCATTTCTCCCCCCTGCCCCCAACCCCTCCCTTACCACCCACTCCGCCCCCTCCCTCTCCCCCACCTCAATACCCAGCAGAAACTATTTTGCCCTTATTTCTAATTTTGTTGTAGAGAGAGTATAAGCAATAATAGGAAGGAACAAGGGGTTTTGCTGGTTGAGATAAGGATAGCTATACAGGGCATTGACTCACATTGATTTCCTGTGCGTGGGTGTTACCTTCTAGGTTAATTCTTTTTGATCTAACCTTTTCTCTAGTTCCTGGTCCCCTTTTCCTATTGGCCTCAGTTGCTTTAAGGTATCTGCTTTAGTTTCTCTGCATTAAGGGCAACAAATGCTAGCTAGTTTTTTAGGTGTCTTACCTATCCTCACCCCTCCCTTGTGTGCTCTCGCTTTTATCATGTGCTCATAGTCCAATCCCCTTGTTGTGTTTGCCCTTGATCTAATGTCCACATATGAGGGAGAACATACGATTTTTGGTCTTTTGGCCAGGCTAACCTCACTCAGAATGATGTTCTCCAATTCCATCCATTTACCAGCGAATGATAACATTTCGTTCTTCTTCATGGCTGCATAAAATTCCATTGTGTATAGATACCACATTTTCTTAATCCATTCGTCAGTGTGGGCATCTTGGCTGTTTCCATAACTTGGCTATTGTGAATAGTGCCGCAATAAACATGGATGTGCAGGTGCCTCTGGAGTAACAGTCTTTTGGGTATATCCCCAAGAGTGGTATTGCTGGATCAAATGGTAGATCGATGTCCAGCTTTTTAAGTAGCCTCCAAATTTTTTTCCAGAGTGGTTGTACTAGTCTACATTCCCACCAACAGTGTAAGAGGGTTCCTTTTTCCCCGCATCCTCGCCAACACCTGTTGTTGGTGGTGTTGCTGATGATGGCTATTCTAACAGGGGTGAGGTGGAATCTTAGTGTGGTTTTAATTTGCATTTCCTTTATTGCTAGAGATGGTGAGCATTTTTTCATGTGTTTTCTGGCCATTTGAATTTCTTCTTTTGAGAAAGTTCTGTTTAGTTCACATGCCCATTTCTTTATTGGTTCATTAGTTTTGGGAGAATTTAGTTTTTTAAGTTCCTGTATATTCTGGTTATCAGTCCTTTGTCTGATGTTTAGTTGGCAAATATTTTCTCCCACTCTGTGGGTGTTCTCTTCAGTTTAGAGACCATTTCTTTTGATGAACAGAAGCTTTTTAGTTTTATGAGGTCCCATTTATCTATGCTATCAGTTGCTGTGCTGCTGGGGTTTCATTGAGAAAGTTCTTACCTATACCTACTAACTCCAGAGTATCTCCTACTCTTTCTTGTATCAACTTAAGAGTTTGGGGTCTGATATTAAGATCCTTGATCCATTTTGAGTTAATCTTGGTATAGGGTGATATACATGGATCTAGTTTCAGTTTTTTGCAGACTGCTAACCGGTTTTCCCAGCAGTTTTTGTTGAAAAGGCTGCTATTTCTCCATCGTATATTTTTAGCTCCTTTTGAACTCAGGGCCTTATGCTTGCTAGGCAGGTGCTC